TGGCGGCACTGTCAACCACGCCAGCTATGCATCCACAGCACCTATTAATACAAGACAAAACACTACAAGCGCTTTTGTTCCCGGGGGGAAGGGGGGGAGGGAGCTTAAAAACTTTTTGGTATGACCTAACACTGGGGAAGTGTTTTTTTATTTTCTATTGCATGAGATTTCTCAACTGATTCTAAGTATTTTTATAAACATTGATTTCAAATATGAAATCGGTTTTCCTCTACATGCTCTAGTTTTCATGCAATTTGAAACTTGTAATTTTCACAACAAAGGATACCCATTGCTATTTACACTATTGAAAGCTTGAGAACTAGGCTTACACCTACCCTAACCTTCAACTAATTAGGCAATTTTTTATGCAAACTATTTTCTATACCTTTTTTTGGGTAATTTTGGATTATAGCGATGTATCCGATTTACTTGATTTACTTGATTTTCTTGATGAAATAGTTCTAAAAGGCATTAGGTACTCATGGTAAATGTTTTCAATATATAGTTTCTGCTTTTCCCGATATGTCTTTAGAGAAGATCAAAGCAGGTGTGTTTGATGGACCTCAAATTCATGCCCTTGTACGTGATGAGGAATTTGTGACAAGGAGAAGGCAGACATTACTTATGCAGCAAATGGCTCAGAAGCCACTACAGCTGCAGGAATATGTGAAGAAGAGTCTGGAGAGAAAGGTATAGAAATGATCTTACAGCCTTTGTGTTTCAGAGTCAGAAAACACCGTTTCAAGTTAGCCCATAAAATCTAGCAAAGCTGTGGAGAACGCCATGGATAAGACAGAGAAGGGCCACACCTAATGGAGTAATGGTTACTCCTAATGGAGTAACTCAAGCAGGGAACAGTTATCCAGGCTATTGGTGTCTGGTTCCTTAGGAGGGACACTGCAAGCCACCCAAAACTGTAAGAGGATCATAAGTGTGTTCAACACTCAAGCTAATGAAACATCATTTAATTTCCTCAGCAGGAACTGATGGAACATAATTGTGGCATTAAATATTACCAATTAACATAGTAGCTTTTGCTGTTCGGCTTATACGAGTTTTCAAAGACTGGGTCACATCTGATGATGTGCAATGTCTCTGGACCTGGAAAGTGCTCTGATGCTAACTAAGGTACGCAAAGCTCCAGGAACCACCACATTCAGAGCCCAGAACCCAAAGATCACATTCCATGCATGCCTGGCAATCTTTCGTACAATGGGTTCTGGATATGGCCTCCAAGGCATCATTGAGGAAACACCAATTTGGATAGCTGCATAGAGACTCAGTTCAGCAGCATTTAGATGAGGTCTTGATTGAAAAAAATATATATATTGGCTAGTAAAAAGGGTAATCTCCTATGACACTAGCAAAAAACTAACCCATGCTGGGAGTGAGAGGGGTTAAATGTGGCTGGCAATGGCTTTTTGTTTGCCAGTGTCCAAAACCTCCTGTAGATGACAGTATAACTATCATATTAGAATAACGGAGTCCTGTGTCCCTTGATAAACGATACAGAAAATCATGTTCCATAAAGTTTTTTTTCTTACCATATAAAATTATGCTTGTCATATCAAATTCTGCTAGTTGTGAAGACAAGCTACCCAATGCACACAATGGTCATCAGTCCTTTAGTGAACCATCCAAATCAGCCTTGACCAGAATGCCAAATCTAAAGCCTTAAGTCAGTGGCTCTCAACCTTTCTAGGGCCGGGACCCCTTTGTAACATTTGCCAAGTTGTGGTGACCCCCAACGGTAAACTTTAGGGTTGACGCGGCTGCTGCAGCGACATCTGGCGGCGTGGCGGGAGAACTGACACTGCTGCGTAGGAGAGGGCTGAGGACGACTCTCACCTAGCACAGCAGAAATCACACAGCAGAAATCACACAGCGACCCACAGGTTGAGAACCACTGTTGTAACAGCTAAAATGGCAAACCATATAACACAAGCTGAGGGTGTCAGCTTTTATTAATAATAATTATGATAATCACTTGATGTGGACCTGATGGAGAACTGCAGGTCCCCCTCTGCTGATTGACAGCAGCAGTGGGCGGGTGCAATAGCTAGTTTGCTATTGCAAAGTGAAATGACCAATAGGAATGTAGCTATGCATTCCAATGCTGATTTATTTATTTTTTTCTGACTTACGGTGGCCGGGCTCCAATGTCAGAAATAAAATAAAAAAACGATTGCAACGAAAGGTTTAATCTGCTCGATCAAGCAGATTAAACCTTTCCGGGAGAAAGTGTTTCTCTCCCGGGCGGCCGGGAGCAGCTATCTAATAGCAGGAGACTCCCGGCGACCCCTGGCAAATTGTCATTCGACCCCCGAAGGGGTCCCGACCCACAGGTTGAGAACCGCTGCCTTAAGTGAAAGTTGAAATCACCTCTTGGGTACACAATTGTAATTATAACCTTTAGTGTCTGTGCATGCTGCTGTAGCTCACCATAAAAAAAAGAAATTCTTTTGTAGTATTCCCCAAAACATTTAGTTTAATGCCAAATCAGCTAAATACATTACAGCCTAAAAGGTGAGCAAAGTCTTTCAGTTTGTTTTCTTTACAAATTAGCCAAAGCCTGAGTAGAAAAACATGTCCCCTGCCAGCATACTGCAGAGTGGGACTTTGTAGGGAAGCAGTGATCTCTTTGCAATGGTCTGACATGCCCCCTGCGAAGTCAGAGCCATAGTTCTCTAATCGGGGTTCAACTGGGCTTTAAAACCCTAGACAAATGCCCAGGCAAGCCACAAACCTTATAAAACCCTAGTAATACTCTTGGCATCTAATCAAGTTATCTCTTTAACATATGTGACTACGTAAAATGAGACCGATACAGGTTATTAAAGCCCATTTACAGCCAAAACATTTTTTTTTATTTTAGATAGAGTAGAATAATGAAATTGTGACAATGTTCTTATTACCTTATATTTCTTGTACAAACATCACTTGCACAGGAAGGGAAATCTTTCCAATGTTGTTAAAAACGGAAATAAAAACCTTGCATCATGTTAACCTTTTTTTTTTTTTTACACTCGTGTTGATCCCCATTAACTTTAGCTCATTAAAACAGATGAAAACTCTGATACAATAAAAAATGTGACCTTAAAGATCTAATGTGCCTCTGAGAATTTTTATACATGCCTTTTTATAATAACTTTACTTGTGGTTACTTGACTGCTAGGGTCAACTGAGCAGTGTGTACTGGGTAATGGTTGGGGCGGAAAGTAGCAGGTCTGTATCTTGTGCCCACATCACACTTTCAAGCCAGGGAGATCAGGACCATGGTGAAAGGAGGGAGCCACTATTAATCATCTGGAAGGAGGAGTGGTACTGGGTGTAGAGGCTGCCTTAGCAGCAGTAGGGGCTACCTCAGATTGCATTAGTGGTGACTGGCAATGCCGTAAGCAGTTTGATGAGCATATTACATATTACAGTACATGTTCACCCTGAAACAATGTAGAGATATTAGGACTAGCAGGATGAATAGGTTTTCTTTTGACAGCAAATAAAAGGAGAAAATAGAGAGCACTCCTTCATGGTGAAGTGCTTTCTACCTTACAATGTGACTTTTCATTTAGGAGTTTACCTACACTTGAAGAAGTTAAAAAAAAAAAAAAAGTACAAAGCTATATTTTCACATCAAGGTATGAATAATTTTTCACTGGCTACACCACCCTCCCTGAAAACCAAACAAAGTAGAATATTTTGGCACTTTGGTCTTTGAATTCAAAAGGCTCAAGCTAAAGACCGTAAGACGAATGTAATGTAAACTAAGTGATATACAAATAAACAGCAGTCTGTATTCTACTCAGAAAATGAAAACATTTTATATAATTCGTGTTTTCAAAGAACTTTGTTGGCTTTTCGTTTTTTGTTTTGTTTTTTTACAGCAAAAATCTATGCACACAAAATAACAATATTTCTCAATGCAACTTGGTACCCACGGGAAGCAAATAAAGCTATTGCTAATTTCTACAAAAATATATACAGTCTGTTTAGTATTAATATAAAAGCTGAACCTTGCAGTACAGTATATAACCCTTTTCCATGTCAGAGAGCGTATATTGCAACATTGTGTAAAAGACCATTAACATACTTCAAAATCTATATACAAGAGGAAAAAGTGATTATTCAAAAACACCCATCACAGTGCTTAACAAGATTTAATGTACATTTATTCTTAACATGTGGAACATATAGTATAAAGATTTTATACTGAATAAATGATATTCATTAAGCCAGAGGAAAAGGAGGAATTTACAACAAGTTTTTTCATTTTCTTTTTTTTTCTTTTTTTTTTTTAAACTACATTTTCTTGAAATACAAATATGTTGAGTTTCATCACTGAAAAACCTCAGCAGTTGTGTCGATTCATCTGTTGTATTGTTATAACTGCCATTTGTATAATATAACCATTATCTTCTTTAGTTGGCAGGCAACTATCTCCACATTGTAACTGCAACCTGCAAGTGTCCAGCGGCTACACCAAAATAGAGCATTATTTTATACATACAGAAACCTGCACATTACCCTCATTGTGGGATATATGGCTAGGATTTTTTTTCAGTGCCATGACAAAGGAGAAAAAAAAAGATGACAATAAAAGTCTATTACTTTAACCACATCATGGGGAAATAGCCAAAGTATACTAAAAATTATTTTTTTAAGAAAAGAAACAAAGTAAAGGCCTGTACATTTCTTATATACATCCCAGACCCTGGGTAATAATGAGAAATGAAAAACAAAAAAAAATATAACAAAGCATCTAAAGGCTGTTATCATGTGAAATCTCAAATACTATACTTGATTATGAAAGTGGCATGTATGAATTTTTGAACTCTTTCTTTTTTTTTTTTAATAGGTTTAAATGTTCTGAATTTTTTCCAGATAAGTGTCTATTCACTCTGCTTCTATTCTAATATTACTGTTATCCAAAGGATGAAAACAGATTTTTTTTTAAACTTAGTCCCCCTTTCCACATACTTAAACAATGTCACTAGTGGTTCTATTGCACACTGGTTTGGTACATTTCTTTTAACTCAAGGGTACAAAAAATACTCTGAATATGAAAACTGAAATAATAACAACTTATTCTCTTCAAAGAAATGATAAAGTTTCATTTTTTACAATGCTCACATGGGTTTATCTGTCCCCTAAGGCTAATAATACAATCAAGAAAAAGAAAACTAAAAAAATAATAAGATCCAAAATGACCTTCAAATAAAACAATCACCAACTTTGGTAAAGGAAAAAAATTAAAATAAAATAGAATGAACATACACAAACAGCAAATATTTATTTTCATAGCTCATTAACCATTTCTTAGAAATTCCAATTGGTAAATAATGACTGGGTGAGGAGCATCTTTGTTTTGCTTTTATTTATCATGTTTCTTCTTCTCTAAAGAACAGAAAAATAGCCAGTTATATGCGACTTCCTACTCTCCCCTCACACATGCTTGGCTTCCCACTGGTGTCATAACTGTCCTATTTGAAAGAGTACATCACAAATGACTGAGGAAACGGTAGAGTTCAGAACCGCTGTTATAGAGATATCCAATAAACGGCTTTCGTGCAAAAGGAACTCGGAGTGGTTCTCTTCCACTTTGGCCATGGCTAATAAAGCCTTAGCTGCCCTGCACATCATGTCTACACTGGGAGGCTCCAAATGGGGAGGCTGCATGTGCATGAGGTTATGTTGATTCTGCTGATATTGAGCCATGGTAACACCATCTTCCAAGAAGCTTATTAAGTTCCCAAGGCTTCCTTTTTGCAAAGCTATAGCCTTTGCTACCACAAAATCCCCCTGAGCAAGGTTCGAAAGCAGCGCCACAGACATTTCTCGACACACAGGGTTTTTGCGATCCCCGACATACCTAACTAGCGTCGCATAGAGTTTTTCTTGGCGACTGAAAGAAGGCGTGGTTAAAATAAGATCCACATTATTGTCCTGTATACTGAGTTTACATAATGTTTCAAGCACAAGTCTCTGAGGGGAAAGAATAGAATTGGGCCCTACTGTTGGGAAAGGATCCTGTGCCTCAGCAGATGGGCACACCATCCAGTGTAGTAAACCATCCAAGATTGGCAAACAGATACTTTCTGTGTATGCAGACAAGTCTAATTGTCCAGAAATATTAGCTAATGTGACCAAAGTATTTTCTCTCAGTACCTCGAGACAGTCCCACCACCACTCATCCTTGCTGCAGCTGGCACCTTTTTCTTCCTCCTCCTCTTTTTCATAAGTCTGTGGTGTTCGTTTTCTTTCTGGATGCTCATGATGGAGGAGAATTAATTTCCCAAGGGTCAAGACCAAGCCTGAATGTTTTGACAACTCGGCATCATTCCCAGGCACAAAAGACAAACTACGGATAATATTTGACACACAAATGCAACGCCTGGCCAAAGAGTCTTGCCAAGAAGCTACTGTACACAAAGGAACTTCATCTCGGCTTCTCGGTTCATCTTCCAGTAATGTTATATTCCTGTGACTTTTGGCGTGGTGGATTCCTAACGAAAGTTTGTTGCTCTCTATTTGCAAGCAAGCATTACTGGAATCTTCTGGGAGTGCACCAGGCCTTGCAGAGAGTACATCATCAATGGTTGCAGTTATACTCTTTTCTGGTTGATCCTCATCATTATCTGGTAGAAATCTATCATCTTGCTCTTTCTTCTTTTTGTTTTGAGGACTGACTGATCTTTGAGGTCTCCTGTACAAGGGAATTTGCATTTTACTTTCAAAGTGAGTCTGAATATGTTCAGTTGTATCACCTCCACCAAGCTGCCAATGAAGTAGCCCACTATTGAATTCCTGAGCATGTCCAAGTCGGTCAGAACGGTCAATAACAAATAGATCATTCTTCTTTACAACTTTGATTGGCAGCCTATCAAATTTACTTGCTTGTTTTGGCTTCTCATGTCGATTTATTAACTTTTCAGGTTTTATGAATGAGGTGTTTTTTTCCTCCGGTTTTAGGTTTTCTTTCTCATCTAATACACTGGTATCATCCTGATCAGGTTCATTTTCATCTATAACTTCATCCTCTTCTGTACCACCTTCATAATCCATAGCAGCTTCTTCTTCCTCTGTAGATGGACTACCATCTACGTCATTTTCAAGAGCATCACAAACATTTGCCCCAACTTCATACTCCTTCAATATCCCAAAGACATCAATGAGGCATTTCCTAAAATATTCCACCAAGAGCTCCAAAAAGCCAGGCAGCTGTTAAATCAAACATAAAAAGTGTTATTAGATGGTCACCTTAATTGTGCAATAAAAAAAAATGTTTGCAGCATAATATTTATGAAAACTGGTGACAACCATTCTGTTCAAAGGAATGCAGAAGATGTGAAAAATGCTGAGTATAGATGAAGGCAACAAAACATATAAGCTGCATGGTACTGTCAAAATACCCCATTGATCATTAAAGGAGAACTATGGGGTCAGTGTTTTTCCCCATAGTTCTCCTTAGGGTAATGGGAGGACACAAACTAGCGTCCTCCCGTTACCCTAAGCTCAGTATACCGCTACAGCTCACGGTATACCGAGACGCCGCACCTGGAGCGGATCCCGACGTAGATGACGGGATCCGCCCAGCTGCGTGAGTGACAGCTGGCTCTGCCTATCTAGAGGCAGAGCCAGCTGTACCCGCACCCCTCCCCCGTCCGTTCCGCCAGTCAGCGCTGGCAGATTGGAGCGGGGAGAGGGGGATCCAGCCCCTCCCCCTGTCACGGCTGAGAGCCGTGACAGGATCGAGAGTTGAGGGAACCCGGTATGTGTTCCCTCACCTCCCGATCTACTGAGCCGACCTGTGACAGTCTCATTGTCACAGGTCGGCTTAGAACCATGAGGTGAGTGGAAATCACTCATCTCATAGTTCTCCTTTAAACATATATTAAAAAAAGCATTACATCATTCTCTTGTCTTTCACTTTTCTACTAAAGATTCATTTCCAAACTTTAAATCTAATATGATGTTACACTGTATCTCACACAGTTGTGTGTAAAAATCTTGTCCATCAATTGTTCTTCCATAACACAGCTGGAGAGAAAGGTTGCATCAACACAGATGAATGAATGGTTAGGATAATTACTGACATTTTTTTAATAAAACAGTTCTAAAATGTACCAGTCCTTGTCCCATAAACTGTCACCATTTCTGATATGGGCCCCCCAGTCATGCTTCATGCTTTCAAATTAATACAAATAGGGGAGAATGATGTGGTTGGGGGAACCCAGAGTTCCCTGGTGCAGAACCCATGATGGACTGCTTGTGTAGGGAACCCAAAGAGGACAGCCTCCCTGTCTACAGAGTACACCACTGCATATCCTAATATAGGCATGTTGATATTGAATTCATATGGCTGGAAAATGTAAATCTGCTTGATTAACTAATACACTATTAGCTATAGACAAGCTATAGATGCTATATTTCAAAGCCAAACAAAAAAGCATTTGTCAATATTTAACTGTAATACACCCACCTGAGATAGGGTAAAAGCAGTCACTGTACTGTCATCATACAATAGGATGTTGATGGTGTCTAAAGCCCATGTACTTTCAGCCAAGAGACCAGATTTTAAAGACATCATTACCCTCCAAGCTTCAGGTGTTACTAAAAAAAAAGTATGAAGAGATGATAATTATTTGTTTAAAATACATGCAATAATATATATTAATATATAACACTGTCCATATGGCAACTCATGATGAGATCTGCTGTAGATTTAGAATACACCGTTCCTTGCAAAGAGATTTTTGGTGGTTTCCTGTTTTTTGCATTAGAACCTGGAACTAAAATGGATTTTTGGGGTTTGTACCATGTGATGTGCACAACTTACATAGTTACATAGTATTTGAGGTTGAATAAAGCCACGGGTCCATTGAGTTCAACCTTTGTGTGTTTGTGCGTGCGTGTGTGTATATGAGTCCCTGTGTGGTCTGGTTTTTAGAAATACCTGTACCCCTTTGTGGTTAAATCTTTTTTCCTCCAGTTTTAGGTGGTGGCCTCTAGTCTTCTTTAGGGAGTTTACAATAAAAAGTATGTTACTGATATTACAATCACCATTAAACAATTTGTGCATCAAAATCATGTCCCCTCATAATCGCCTCACTTCTAGAGTGAACAAATTTAAATTTAGCATCCTGTCTCAAAGCTTTAGTCCTCCAGCCCCTTAATTAGTTTTGTTGCCCTTCGCTGTACCCTCACCATCTCCAGGACATCCTTTATGTGGAATGGTGACCAGAATTGAACCACATACTCAAGATGAGGCTGAACCAGCGATCTATAAATGTGGCAAAATGATTGCTTTGTCTCTACAGTACGTACCCTTTTTAATGCAAGACAGTACTCTGCTCGCTTTGCTTACTGCAGTCGTACATTGCATGCTATTGTTTAATCTGCAGTCAACTATGAACCCCAAATCTTTTTTCATTTCTGACTTCCCAATTGGAGTTCTCAATAATGTGTATGCTGCATGCCTGTTTTTTAGCCCCAAAATGCATTATTTTACAGTTTTCAACAATAAACCTCATCTGCCATGTAGTTGTCTACTCCCCTATTTTATCCAGGTCCACCTGTAATGCTATATATGTCTAAGGTCATATCTATTACCCTCCCAATTTAAGTATAATCTGCAAACACAGAAACTTGACTATGTACACCTTCCCTGATATCATTAATAAACAGGTTAAACAGTATTGGGCCTAGCACAGAACCCTGGGGCACACCACTCTCAACCTTAGACCAATTAGAAAAAGAACCATTAACCGATACTCTCTGGACATGTTCCTGTAGCCAGTTATTCATCCATGTACACACCTTTTCATCTATGCCCATAGATTGCAGCATGTGTAATAAGCGTTTATGTGGTACCGAGTCAAAATCTTTTGCAAAATCTAGGTACACTACATGCACTGGTTTTCTTCTATCCTAGTGTTTACTTACCTCCTCATAGAATGTTAGTAGGTTGGTCTGGCAAGAACAGTCCTTCATAAATCCATGCTGATTATCACTTATTATACCACTGCCACAAAATCCATTAAATAACCCTATATCATTCCCTCAAACAGTTTGCATACCATTGATGTTAAACTGACTGGTCTGTAGTTCCCAGGTTGGCATTTTGAACCCTTTTTCAATATTGGTACTACCGTTGCCTTACGCAGTTGTTGACAAACATTGGAGTGATCAGCGATCACTCCAATGTTTGTGCTGCACACAGAGGATCGGTAAATATCACAGATATTTACTGATCCTTCCGCTCTCCATCCTGAACCACTCTGCCACACACAGACCGCTCAGGCCAGGATCTGACAGCTGGCGGTTCTCTCTCTCCTCACCGCTCAGCCATCCTGGATGACAGCTCCCTCCTCCGCCCCCGCCGGCTTCAGCGTTCCATTTCTGCTCAGATCCCCGCTGCCTCTTCCCATACAGGGGGGGAGAGCAACGGGGATTAGAGAAGCTGCAGGCTGTGCCGTCCCTCTACTCCCTGCCACCCCGAGGCCGAACTGTGTCAGCTGCCTGGCGCCCCCTGTTGCCTTGGGACACTGTGCGGCAGCACAGCTAGCACACCCCAAAGGCAGGCCCGGAACATACTGCTAAAAATACACTTGAGTGGTTTAAAGGAAAAAAAATTAATGTCTTTAAATGGCCTAGTCATCTTAGACATCAATCGAATTAAGAATCTGTGGCATGACTTGAAGATTGCTGTACACCAACACAACCCATCTAACTTGAAGGAGCTGGAGCAGTTTTGTCTTGAAGAATGGGCAAAAATCCCAGTGGCTTAATATGCTAAGCTAATAGAAACATACCCCAAAAGACTTGCAGGTGTAATTGCAGCAAATGGTGGCTCTACAAAGTATTGACTTTTGGAGGGTAAATACTTACACATACTCAAGATTTCTGGGGTTTTGTGTTTTAATTACAGTATTGTGTTACAATAAAAATTATTTTGCACGTATTAAGTGGTAGGTATGCTGTATACACCACATGGTACAAACCACCAAAAATCCATTTAATTCCAGGTTGCAATGCAATAAAACAATACAAAACACCAAGGGGATCAATACTTTCGCAAGATACTGTATGTTTGCGCTACTTGTCTGAAACCTATTATGGCCACATAAAATGTCTCAATGTCTGAAAATTTGTGCTGCTTTTTTTTCCTTTATACAGTTAACACATATTTACATTTTCAAATGGTGAGGTGATAGCAGCATTGTGCAATCTCCAGTTTTACAGATCTTAAACAAGTCATTAACATTATTGCTTAGGTGTTTTACCCAGTTCTTTGCATAACATAAGGGTATCTATCGGTGCTATTTTAATTTTTCTGCATTGTTGGCTTCAGTATTTATAAGCACGGACATAAACAAATTGCCACATCAAACCTATGTTGTTTTCAAAGATGGTACACTTGACTCCAGACTTCAATTACCTGCACATATCATTAGTTTATTTTCAGGGCACCCCTGTAAGCCCCAATACCCAGGGTGCTCTTTTAAAGTGGACCTAAACGCAAACTGTTAAGATTTGCTATTTTATAGAGAACCTTTAGAGATACTAACTAAGCCTCAGCAGTACCCTGAAAAAGTAAATTTTGCATTGAATATCTTCTGAAAAGTAGTAGTGCACTCCCTGTGCATAGGCACTCCAATGCCTTGAGTCTCATAGCTGTATAGCTACATTGTAAGATCATTTAAAACACTGCTGCCTCTGACCATAAGCCTCACGAGATGTAGTGATGTCACAACTGTACTGTTGCTGAAAAGCAATCAAGCAGAAACAAGCAAGGACAAAAAAGAGAAGGAGCACCACAACCTGGTGTAGTGATGTCACACTCCATCTCCTCTGAGGACTCACACAACTCATCTGCCCATTGAGAATCCCTCCACCGCAACTTCCAGACCCAACAACCGAACCAGGAGACCAACATCACAGAGCACCATCCCACCAATTGTAAGTTCCCAACACCATTAATCAATCTTTTTGCCCATTCATCTGTATCAGGTTGTGGCGCTCCTTCTCTCTTACGTCCTTGTTTGTTCATTATCACTCATTAGACACTTCTGTCTAATATCGTAGGAGCCGCACACCAGCCCTGACACACCTCCCTCACCAGGAGAGCACTAAAAACATAGGATTTTTCTCTTTTTTGCAACTTTCCATAAGGAAACAAAGCCTTATTTGTCCTCTTCCAAAAGCACTGTGTTCACGGTGGACGCAGTGTGAAACAAGGCATGGTAGATCAGTAAAAAATATAGGGAAAAGAGCAGCAGCTGTGGAGAGACCACAGGCAACACTGGTGATTAGCCCTTTGTCCTCTGCTTGCCTTTGCACAGTTCAGACAAGTTTTACAGTTCAGGCAAACTCCAAAACTAGCTAGTAAGGTTGCATTATAGCTAAACTAAATGATTCCTAGGACTAGTTTAGCAACTTTGAAAGTTCCACATGTACAGTTTGATATATATTAAAGCTTGATATAGAATGTAGAATTTTATATTTATTGCTCTATGCTTGCTAAGCTATATTTTACAGAGATTTTTTAGTTTCTTCAATTTATTGTATGTCTTATATGGTGCATTTAAAAAAATACCACAACTATAATTTACTTGGTAGGTAAGAATTTTTATTGCACATTTTATTTTGTGTTATTGTATGTCCTGATGATAGTATGTGCCTGTACCAAACAGGCCATCACTGTACAATAAAAGCTGTCTATTGTCGACCAGAATATATGGAATCCATCTACGCATTCCTATTGTATGGAATGATTTCTTGTTAGCCTATTAAAGTTTATAGGGTTACACATCCTGATTTTGATCCTGACAATGTCGATGGACATGCAACCGTATTGGATTTGTATTCTTCCAATGTACTACTATGTAGTATTTACAGTTTATTGTTTAAACTTCATGAAAACCAATAAATATTGATTGAGAAAAAAAAAAAAGAACATATGGAATCCCACATGTAGTTTGCATGATCTACCCAATGGCAAATGGTTTTCCTAACAGCAATGATCATTTCCAATTTACGCATATTTAAGAAAATACTTCAGATACCATTTTGCAATTTTTAAAAGCCATGTACAATGGAAAACATAAGATTTATAAATACATTTTAATACTTTACTTTAAATAAAGGATTTTAAAAAATTAATATTTTGTTTCCTCTTACCAATGTCTTTTGAGGTAATTTTTCTCCTTGACTTCAAGACCGGTGGAGTTGCTTCCACTGAGCCAGGTGGAAAGGTAATTTCACGCCTGATGATAGAAGTCTGTGAAGAAAGCCCAGTTGTCTGAGTTGGTGGAACTGTGGGCATAACCTTCTGCATTTTTAGTGAAGGCAAGAAAGGAGATTTGCTTGGTGACATACGGTTTTCCAGTGAGCGCTGAAATGAGGCAGGGCTTGAGGCCCTTGAAATGTGGTTTGCCATAGATGGTGGGGTCTGGTAAGATGATGGTGGCGCTCTAGTGTTTGGTTGCAATGCTCCAGATGGGGACATGTAGGAAGACGGACGTTGGTTTCCATGAGATGGCCACTGACCCTCATGATTCATTCTTTGGTCAGGTACCAAGATATCATCAGAACGGTTCATAGCTGGATAAGTTCCTTGCTGTTGTGTGCCAGCTGGGCCTTGCCTTCCTTGGTATTGATAGGGTAAGTCACTGCGTGCAGGCCACATATTCTGCTGAGCACCATCACCTGAAGATGACTGCACTGGGCCACCCATTATTTGAGGTCCCATGCCATGTTGCTGTATTTGCCCTGGACTCTGCATCCTCTCTCTGTTGTAAGGGAAAGAATACTGTCCTTGCATTGGCCTCCTGTCAGGTCCAGAGTAAGTGTTGCTATATTGATTGTACACATCTTGCTGTTGGCTGCTGTACTGCATAGTGTACATGTCTCCCTCATGGCGCTTCGATGAAGGACAATACATGCTATCCATATGACGTTTGTAGTTCTAAAAGTAAAATAAAGCAGAATTTCTGTAAACCACCAAATCCCTTAAATTTCTAACCTAATTACTTGGGACAAACTAATTAAAAACTAATAATGAAAAAAATGTCAACTCAAATAAGTCCAAATCTTTGAATATGTTATGCAGTTTGCACCATTGCCTAATGTAAAATGTATCTTGAGTACGATGTTACTATAAATTGAGTACTGTACCATTTCAAAAACATGCAGAGATCCAACATTTGCATACATACTTCCTAATTATTTAGATATCCAGAAAGAACATACAGACTGTAGTCAAAACATAGTGAGTCTACTCTATGGGTACAGCTTTACTAGAGCTAGCTATTCCATTAATGTCCAAATTAGACCTTTTTGTGTCTTTAAAGTCATGTTTTGACTTACGGTATGCTTATTAAGAATTTTTTTCTTGGAAATGCTTTAAAATACCCTTTTCTTTTATTGAAAAATGAAATGAAAATTACCCTACAACTCTTAAGGCAGCAAACAAAAGCAAAGGTTGTGTGATAGTATTCTTCGGAGACAACTGAGTACAATTAAAACTGAATATCTGTAAGTGCCTTGGGAAGGTCTTAGATTGTAGGGGAAACAGAACACTTCATTTGAATGTATTTATGTTCCTTTTGATCCACCCAACACCCAGTGCCAGTCTTATCATTGATAACATTTCTGACTGAATGCACCAGGCAGTATGCCAAGCAATCAAAAGATAGTCCTAATCATATACAAGCATCCTTAACATGGCATCCTCTTTTATCTCATTATTTCTCACTCCAGTTTGTATACTTTGGCCCCAGTTTGAGTTCTCAGCCTTGAATTTAAAAACAGTCTTTATTAAAAGCTACTTTAGGCTAAGTTTATTTGCTGTAACTCTGTGGTTGTCATGCAGGCCACACAATTAATATAGCTCTGATTTTTCTACCATGCTAAATAAAATATAATACATTAAGTAGGGATGCACCGATACCGTTTTTTTTGGTATCGAGTACAGATATTTTTTTTCCGGTACTCGCTGATACTGAATACCAATACTTTGAAGTCCCTTAAGGAAGCTGGGTGGCGTGTAATGACTCGCCACCTGGCTTTCTGATTAGCCGGGAAGCTGTCTCCATGCTCCCTCATCACCAGGTGATGAGGAAACATGGAGCCTGCTTTATGGCCAATTAGGAAGCCGGGGTGCGGGTAAATGCCAGGTTCCCGACCAATAAGGAAACCGGGCGGCGAGTAATTACACACCACCTGGCTTCCTGATTGGCCGGGAAGCCGGCTCCATGCACCCTCGTCACCAAGTGCATGGAGCCGGCTTTCCAGCCAATCAGGAAGCTGGGCAGTGTGTAAGGACTAGCTGCCCAGCTTCCTGATACCGGAGAGCATCGAGAGCATTTGGTTGAGTACGGGTACTTGCCCAAATACTCGGTATTGGTGCATTCCTAACATTAAGTATTCAGGCAGCTTACTTGTTGTTGTGGGTACATTCCTGGCTGGTGCCCTCCATAAGGTGGTTGTCCTGAAGCGGGACCTTGCCCTGGATACTGCTGTCCATAGGTTTCATGCCTGAAACACAAATTAACAATAACTGTTACAATAGTCATTTAAAATATTATGCATTTTTATTTTTCTTCACATTGTTTGTGCAGAAATGCTTGTAAATTCCAGCATAAGACAGGTTTCCCTGGGATTTCCTACACTGCTTTATGACTTTTTACATCAGCAACGTATACAGTCCCTACCACATACAGACACACTTTGACCAATTTGGATGGAAGGCAATTAATCAAGCTGAAGATTTTTGGGCTGCAACACCCAGATGAACCCCGTCAAACAGGAAGAACATTTGCTCCAAGCAGATAGGGAACCCCATGTTAATGGGACCCAGAACCCTATAATTAAAAGACAAGAGTGCTAACCATTTATGCACAGTGTTGAATTAATCTGTCATTTAACTCATGTTAAATAATTCAAGCCTGTGCAGGGTTCAGGCAGATTTTTTAGAATTTATTATTGGATCCCAATATTTGCAACCATTGTTTTTCTACTTGGGTTTGTGAGGGGTTACTGATTTGTTGAATCTAATCAAGTTCTAAACTGAATCTAATTAAGATATTATGGGGAAGTCTGGCAAGGGCTGCTCATGCTCAAAAACCTGCAATTTGTCATCAAGCAAAAGTACTTATTTATGTGGGAGTGGGCTAAGATTCCTCCACAGCATGCAAGCCCCTGGTGAACACCAAGAGAAGCTTTAAAAATATGAAGAAGAAATATGTATAGGGTGTCACTGATGTATCTCCTCTTTGAATGCATTCTAAATCACTAACTTAGAACAAGTATGCACATCAGGATTTCTGACTTGATGTACAGTTGTTTCAAATTAAAGACTCAATGTAATAAAGCCAGAAACAGCCTTTAATGCCGTCCCTGCCTCTTGCAAGTTCCTATTGGCCTATCATAGTGAAGTTCCAACAAAAATGTGTCAGGACAGACACATTGGAGCTTTCCATGTCAGAATAGCCTGGAACCTCTAGGTGCTCCAACTTATTTCTGCAGCAGCTTTTTTGATGACAGGATCTCTTTAATTCAGCAAAAAATTATACAATCAGTGATTGACCCATATGGATGACCACTAGATGATATTGCTCCCAAGATGTATGTGCACAGGAAAATAACTTCTTTAGTAACTTCCTGGTACCCACCAGGATTTCCAAATGCATGCTGGACTTCCCCTCCCCCTCCCAATGCTTCCACAGATGCCCAGACCTAGGCACCCACTGGCATATTTGGTGGCACTGTCCAGTTCTTCAGGGACTGCGGTGAGGGTCTACCGATTTTTAGCTTTATTAGCTTCAGTTCTTGGCAAATGTTTGCAAAGAGACCCAAGTGAAGCAAAAACCTAACACACAAATTTACAGCAAAGCAATGTATTGCTAAGCTTGGAAGTCCCCAACTCTAATAATAATGTTTAAAACTGGATCAATCAGACTATGCTCAGTGAGAAATTATCAGCTATCATTGGCACTCAGTTTTGACCTTCTCCTACTTTTGTGAACTATCCTGCTGATGCGTGTATGCATGCTTCTCAGCCGCAACACTCCCAATCTTCTCCCTACCCCTTCCCATCCCTCCTATCTTTTCAACCTGAACTCCACTCAAAGCTGAACTCTAGGCAGATATAAAAGACACAAATCAATGCAGCTGTATTCATTAATATAGCATTAAATGTATGTTTGCAAATGCAAGCAGTGTAAATACCTGAATTTGACCTAGTATCAGCCTCTTACTGCACAGCAGAATTTAGACTGGTAGAGGAAGAAGTAACACAAAGTGCCATTTCATCTGTGCATTTAGCCGTTTGCCTGGCATTCAGCTTTAATATCTGTCCATCACATCCACTGTTAGCAATTCATCTTATACATGAAACTGATTTCCCAACCAAATTCAGGTCATTGGCCTTTAGACCTCATGAAATTATTTCTTTCCCCTTGTATTAGGTTAGATGATAGTAGAAGATAGAAAAGAAAGCTTCTATTTCCACTTTATCCAGAGACTAAAGGCAAAGATTCTATCATCTTTATTTTCTCTCCATGAATAAATTGCTGAAGGTCTATGCACTTGATATGTTCTATTCTATTGAACTGCTTTTATTGGAACATTCATTCTTTACAACCATTTAACATCTTTCTCCTATTCTACTAGTCTAGATAACTCTATTGATATAACATCTTTCACTTATTGTTAATGCAATAAAGGATGCATTTTTTCTTAGACACTCAGCAATTTACTTTGATTTGTTACAAAAAGACTCTAGTTTTGTGTGGAACAACCTACATACTATCTACCTACCTACATAGGAATAAAGAACATTATTCAGGAATTGGCAGACCCTTATACAGAGAAAAGACAAAGTAGACATATATAGTGGGAAAAAACCTCTTTACATTCTTTACATGACATGAATTGCAGCATTACCAAGAATATCCAAGTAAAAAGTACTATCTACTAGTGAAAGTGGCTTATTGATCCTCCGCTAAAACATCTGTATAAGCTGTACTGGCTTGAACATGGTCACATATGTAACAAGAGTCAGCCAACATAGGGTGTTGTTTGTACAGCTCTGTCTAATCCTGGTGCCCTAGCACCACCATAAGGCATTGTTCCTAAATGTCTTATAGTAAATGTTGCTTACACTACATAGGCAGTAGGGGCTATAACTAAAAATGATCCTTTCAGAGTCACTAGATTTACACATTGCACAGGACAAACCTGAAAGGTGCAAAGGTTCTTAAGTTCATTTTCTGTCACCCTGTGGCCTCAAAAAAAAAGTGCTCATGCTATGGTTTTAGACACAACAGTGGGGGAATTCATAGAAACTGGAGCAGACAGAATCTGGAGCAGATGACAACCAATCAGCTTCTCTCTTTCATTTTCAAAGCTTAACTAAACAAAGTGAAAAGAGAAGATGATTGGTTGTCATGGGCAAATGCTCCAAATTCTGTCTGTTACAGGCTTTTATGAATTTCCCCCAATATGTACTGTAATTATTGGGTAATTTTATGTGCAGTTTCAACAGGGTTTGCCAGCCACGTATAAACCCTCCTACTTCTAGCATATTTTGTAGAAAAGCAGTACTTAGAAGTAGATCACAAACACAAAGGGGTGGGACCTGTGTACCTTAATTAACTTCAAAAAACAGATTTTGCATTAAGTACAAAATCCTGATTTATTGGTCATTATGGGACAGAGGATTCAGTAATTCTGGTATATTTGGGATTCCCAAAAATGGTCCAAATGATGGCTGGGTAACACAACAAAACACCAAACAGACCCAAATAAAAAACAAAATAGAAACTAGGGGCAACCTGCAGCTCAAAAAAGCTGTCTGAATGACATTACACTCTAAGCTGGCATCAGTTGAGGCCTAAACTGTAACCCTGTAAAAGTTAGAGAACATATGAACAGAAGACCAGGTGATAGTCTTGCAAATCTAGAACACAATAGCTTGATACCTAAAAGCCCAAAAGGCACTCAAAGACCTAGTAGAGTGTGTTTTGGCATTGGCAGGCTAGCTGGTAAGTGTGCTGGGAAATATTTTGTTTTTGACAGGAAAAGGGGGAACCTTGTCCTCAACACTATAAGCTTAAACAATGATCTGTCTGGGTCATCGAGATATGGTGGACATTGAAGCTGGTTCTCCTTAATGGGTACCATCAGGAGATAGTATTGATACACTGTATCAATAGGGAGATGCAAGCACATAGCCTTAATCTTCACAGAGCCTAGGAGGTCTCCCCGGTGTACCCTGGGAGAGGTTATGACAGACTTGGGGGATTCCATATGGAACATTTGAACCTGAATAAAGACATTTAAGGCATTCAGTTCCAAGATGGGGAGAATGTCTCCCTTTGTTTTGGAACAGTGAAAAGGCTGAAGTAAAAACCCTGAAACCCTTCCACCATTAGTAAAAAGGCAATGGCTCCTTGGTTCAAAAAGTCTTCTAGAGCAGAATGAAAGGTCTGCTAGCTGGTGTGGAGGAGTAGTTTGGATGAAGTGGGGTAGAAACAAAAAAACGAACTCTAACTTGCAGTCCCTGGACACCATGTCCCTTACTCAGGCATCCAAGATTCTTTATTACCAGGTGTCCACAAAGGCCAGCAGACAGCCCCCCAGTCTGGAAAGTTGGGGGTGTCCGTTCACGCTGAAGAGGAATTGTCTGTGGCAATTGGAGGATTTAGAGGCCCAGGGCTTGCTGCGGTACCAGGTCTCTCCCTTAGGTTTGGCCTTGGAGTGAGAAGCATGGGAGAAATTAACTCTTTTTGGCTTTAGAGGCAGTAGATTTACCAGGTTGAGGCTTAGGCTTCTGGGGTAAATGTGTACTCTTACCATGAGTAATGTCCTTTAAAATTTCCAGTGAAGCAGCAAAGAAAAAATGTCCATCACCATCAAACGTCATGTGCAGCAAGCGTTTTTTACTTTGGGGTTCCACATACCAACATTTTAGCCACAATGATCTCCTTATGTTCACAGGCAGGAGACTCATTCAGGAGATAAGACGGATAATATCAAATAGGCCATCAATGCAACAATGTAGGCCTGGCAGCAATAGCTCTAAGTGCTTTACAACAAAAGGGTCAGTAAGCACTGTAGCTGAATGCTTAGACAACAGCTGAGTCCATTCCCCTAAGGTCTGACAGATTGACATTATGGCTATGGCAGGTTGCATAGCAAGGGCTGCTAGCAAAAATAAGGATCTGGAAAGGGCTTTCCAATGTTTATCAGTGGCATTTATACACAATGGTGCACCCTTAATTAGGTACAGTCAGTGTTTTGTTGAGACAGAATATTGCCAGTTCCACAGTGGGGAAATTCAAGTTAATCTTGGGTTTTTTTTTCACTTCCCACTTTTCAAATCCTCCAGTAGATGTCAGTATAACCCAGGCGTATAATAACTGAACCCTGTGTCCCTTAAGGAATGAGAATGAAATACATATTTATTAATTGTTTTTATTTATAAATTTGTAATTCTGTTCAGCATGTATTCTGTTGGAGGCACACTTGCCAGAAAGCAGAGCTAGGACTGTGATATGATTACAGCTTGTTTAATAACCCACCACTTGCCTGCCCTTTTGGCAATGAAGCAGCAAAACAGTAATAATGTCGTCATTATGCTGTCTCATCCCATGAGCAAATTCCCAGATTTGCAGTGCAGCCTGTTTGGCTAGGAGTCTGCCCTGTCTCTCCTGGTCAGAGTCTTGATGTGCTTGTGATGTTTTACAAAAGTATAACTTGGGCAGATCTACTGGCTGGATAAAAAAAAAAAAAACACACACACACACACACACACACACACACTTTTAATACATATCTTTGGTGGATAAATTATGTTTTTAAATTAACAGTTCATTTTTAAGAGTCGCATGCAATGTTTTGGTTTGCAAATAATGTTATTGCCTACCCTTTTGCCTACCTTTGTTGTCCTTGAAAACGGTTTGGTGAATACATGCTTGGATCACTGTTTGAAGGCCCCATGTTGTTTTGACCAGGTGGTCCCATTGCGCTTTCAGCACCCATGACATATTCTGACCTAAAAGAACATTCAGCCATAATATCAAATAAAAAGCATAAAGGTCAATTACATAATGGCTAAACAGAATTTAATCTTGCAACCCCTAGTGACCTGCAACTTTGACTTTGCAGTGTAAGCTTTTAGTTGCATAAAGTGTTTTAATACGGAACTAGTAATGAATATTGTTCCATCACATAGCTGTCATTCCTATACCTATTACATATAAGGATGTACTTAGCCAAGTCAAGATTCTAAGTGATTTAATATATTTAGAACATCTACAGGTTTTTTGCAGTGGTGAAACCAGTGTCTGAGTTATCTATTTCCAGCTACAACTGTTATGATAAAAGGACACAAACAGCACCAATTCAATTTTGACAGAGATATCTGACCACACCATGTAATAATGCAGAGGCATTTCTACCTTCTCCACACCTCTCTTATTTAGTTGAGCCTGAATCTGTAATGTTTTAGTTTGCATTTATCACTGACTGCAGGTGAAGGTGTTCTCAATCATCCTCCCTTTAAAAGCGACCCTGTCACAGGGTAGAGCCATACAAAATGTAAATGAAGAAGATACATTTTAATGTACCTTACCAATAATTGGTATTGGTTATTTAGTCTGGCCAACTAACTTCAATGTAAATTGTAGTAGCAAAGGAAGCTGATTATAAGGAATAATTTGAGAGGTGTGGGTAGAAACATACATTTAGTTCAGAAGGTATTGCATTTACATTGTGACTTTATAATGTACTAACCTTCTATCATAGCTTCCAGGTCCAAAGGGAAATTGCTGACGCTGAGTCATACTCATACTGGACATCACCCCAGAGGGAGTCTGGTTGTACATCTCTGGCATGCTGCTGTTTGCCATTTGGCCAGGGGTCATGAAAGGCTCATTGCTCCCAGGCACTGAAATAAAAATAAAATAAGGATACATTAGTCGTGTTTTCACTAGTAACAAATGGGTAGTAGCCCATCTCCTTTATAAAAATATGCAGTAGTACAAAATATAGCATGTTACCAAAGGCAGAGTGGTTACCTGCCAACTCTGGTATTTGCCTGAAGGGCTGGTGTACCTGAGTACATAACCACAGCAGGATAGGTCTAATCATTGAATATGATGGCAGTTAAAAATATTGCTTATTAGCATGTTGTTTTCACCAAACGTACACAGGTATTTTTAAGCTCGATGGCTTTTCATTTAGTGCACAAAGTGATAGAATTGTTGCCTTTCTTTAAAGCCAAAACTTCAGTTATTTGCTAGATAATCCTTACATGGCCAGATTCCCACAAGCAAAGGTATTTTTTGATGGGGCCATGTATGTCATGTCTAGGCAAAAAAAGAACAAAAACATTCAGTACATCTCTGCAGCACATGCACATTTCCCCATGTTTTGTCTCGTTAAAATATCTTTTGAAAATACAGAAAAATATCTGTTGCTCCTGACAGAAATATAGTGAGCTCCTAATTTGCTGTAACAAGCTGACCAAACAGTGCCTTTGCTGCACATAAATCCCAAGCACTGCTGTCAGTCCTGCCTGAGTTCTCCCCTGCTGGTCTATAGAACACCCCTCTTCTCATCTGCAAAGTGTTCTGTAGTCCAGCAGGGGGAAACCTAGGCAGGGCTGATAACACTGCTTGGGACTTCAGTTAAGCAGAGGCACCAATGTCAGTTCACTAGAGCAGGTTAATAGCTCACTGGATTTCTGTCAGAATTAAGAGAGAAATATTGGGAGAGAAAAATATACTCTTCGCAATACTTAGAGCTGGTGTGGGACACGCTTATGCAAACACTGATCGCTCAGCTCAGGTCTTCTACCTGCAGAAAGCAGGGATTCTCCCTCCCATTGCAGAGATGTACTGCATACTTTCCCCCCAGAGTTTTGATGTGGTCTTTACCCACCAAGAGTTGTATATTTTATATGCATATTGTCCCAATTTAATTACAGTATACCCCACAAAGTTTACAGACCCAGTACATGGACTTTCTTAGACTTTTTTTGAAGTTTAACAAAGCTTGTTTAGATGTACAGAGTGACAAAACATGTCATATTAGAAAAGTGTGGTATTTGCTCAGTATTTACAAGTGTATTCTTTTTTTACATTACGATCAAGATTTGCTCCAAAACTAAATCTTGGCTATGACAAGATATTTTAGAGGAGCTGATTCTGAGAACCCAACTATGATCAGATTGAATGGCATCCCCCACTTGCTGTAAAACATGACGACAAGATGTTAAGCAATTCAAGTACAAAATTTTGATTGTTGCACCTCAAGTAAATTAAGAAATCTGTGTTCTCACTCAGCACTTGCTGATTACACACTCATATTTCCTAATCAAATGTTATAACATTGATTAGAGAAGCATTTTAAACTGAAGGAGGTTAGGTAATTTCCTTCATTAAAATGAGTCAGTTATGTGAGAGCTTTGCATAACGAAAAAATACCATCCTTGCCTTTCTATGCTTAAAACAAAATGAATGTTAGCTATGGTAAGCTGTGGGCTTTGTTGGATCAATATACCAAAGGTAGACTTCGAAATGCTAGAGATGATGTATCTATTAATTTGGCCTACTTTGGAAACACATTTACTGTATCAAACTATATATACAGCAATGGTCAAAGAAAATTAGTATTTGCCCCTGCTAGGTAAGGTAAAAAATTCCATCTGCGCTGCAGACACCATAGGCCACCTGTACTCGGCTTCACTGCATTATCCTACCTCTTCAATCAACTGGCACAACTCAAGAAATACCCAGACACTTTCCCTAAACCCCCACAATCCAGTGCCTGGTCAATCTCCAGACCTAAACACTGTCACTTGGGGGTGGAAAGGAGCTGGAAGAGCCCTGCGCAGACTAAGAATTTCAGAAAGTTAAAATTTGAACAGGAAATTTGAAGTGTTCAGGCACAAATCAAAATCAAAACAGCCATGGAGAGCAAGAAAAGGGAGTGCAGTGCCCTTTGGTGCCCACAGCTTACAGCACACACAGGGACAATGGGGAACAATAGCCACCCTCCAGAAGGAAAAACAGTGTCAGCACCAATTCAAAGATTATTTGAGGATCTACAGCTGAGTGATACACTAATAGGCTACATTTTTGTTAATAGTGAAGGTACTTGAATGCATTTTTAAGATTTAACTCCTAAGTTCAGTGTCACTTTAAGTTCTGACAGAAGTAGTTATGGACTCATGTACGGCATAGTATCTACTTTAATGGACAGGCTAAGGGCTAGTTCACACCAGCCCCAGGTGGGTTCCGGCCCCAATCGGGCCAGAACATACTGGATTACATTGTGGCCTGCTCACTTTGTTTTTGGACGGGAGGGGGCATGGCGGTGCATTAAAGACAATGGCACCACAGTCATGCCCTCCAGCCGCAGTGCAATCACCCGCACTGGAACGCGTGGCATATACAGTATAGTGCTTGCAGCATTTTTTCTGACTGCACCGGACCGGAACACAAGCACTGATGCACCGCCACTCCCCCTTCTTCCCCAAAACAAAGTGAGCCGGCCCCAATCGGCCAGAACGCACTGTGGCTGGTGTGAACTAGCCATAGGACCCAACAAACTGTGAGCTTTGACAATGCATACTTACAGACTTAGATATACTGAAGGGAATTTATCAAAACTGGAGCAGACAAAATCTGGAGCAGCTGTGCATGGCAACCAATCAGCTTCTCTCTTTCATTTTCACATCTTAACTGACCAAACTGAAGAGAGAAGCTCTTCCAAGCACAACTGCTCCAGATTTTGATACATTTCCCCCACTGTATATATTTAAAGATATAGCACATTTAAAAAGTAAACAAGGAGCCCATTGAAGAAGATTTAGACCCACCTTTTCTCATGCTGCTGAATGGATCTTTGTTGGGCTCATATGGCATCCGGCTCAACATGTCTGGCACATTCATTCCTTGTTGGTAAGCAGCGTTTGGAGTCATTGAATTGCGCTTTGGAAAACCTGAATCGTCTGAGAAAGGGTCCTGTACGTTCACTGAACTGTTCCTATCAAAAACAACAGTAATGCACATAAGCAGGTTACTCACGTTCATGGCTAAAAGCTATAATAGGGATAAATAAGTGACTCCTGTGAGCAGAAAGGCCTTTTTAGTTCTACGTTAAAGTCTACACACAGATGGACATAATGTGAACATGAAATTAAAGCACATGTTTGGACAATTAATTGAAAGTACCTGCCACTTGGCATTGGTTGCATCTGTCCATGTGGTGTTGATGCGGGAGTTGGAGGCTTTAAATCCCCAGGCATCTCGGCCATGGAATTACTGCCAGTGGATTGGGGAGTATGTGGTCCTTGGAAAGATCCAGAGTTTGCTAAACAATAAAAATAGTGAAATAAAACATTTAATTGGTTATCTCCATTTTTCCCCATATCAATTAACCACAAATACAATTATGACTTTCAGGAGATAGTTAATATCCTTGATTCATTTTTTTTTAAAGGGGATCTAAACCCCAAAACAAAAATGTTTTACACTGCAGCTTACCCGTCCTTAGACATGGTGGCTGCATTTGTTTTTGTTCAGGCTTTTTCCCCTGTATTTTCACCTGGTGATCTGGCCAGTAAAACACTTTAGATACCCTTGAAGGTTAAGTTAAAAACGGGTCACTGGATAAACCATCTAGATAATGTGTACAATTTGAACAACAAACCTACAACTATAAAGACACAACATCCATTAATTGTGAACAAAAAAAAAACAAAAAACACTTTTAAGAATCATATATTAATGATCATTTTAATAGAAATCAGGGAGCTGCCCTTGCAGATGCAAATACCAGGGCTGTCATGCCTACCCTTGATTTTACACTGACCTGGAACAAGCATGTGGCCAGAGAGTTGTTGGTCACTTGATATGCACATGCGGATTCCAAATCAGTGACTTATCAATAAATTAAAGAAGGATAAGGACAATGGCTCCAGAGCCATTAAAACAAGTCAGCAATGTAAGTTTCCATACTACTATTGTGGCAGGGTCCCATTAATAATTGTATCAATATGTTTAAAAAACATTGTTTTAAGTTTTAGTTTATAACCCGTATGTACATGTACTATAATTTGTGCTAACCTATATGAACTTTTCTATGAAACATTATTGAACTGTTGAGCCTCCTAGAAAATATTTTGTTTGATTATCTTGTAAATGACTTAATTTCAGCAATTGCATGGCAAGAATGGCATCTGCATAGACAGCCACTAGAAGAAAAATTGAAAACTCTTTGTGTAAAGAACATGGAAATCTAGTTCAGACTTATTAAAAAAAAAGGAAAAAAAATCACTTACGCTACTTTCAGGTAAACAGTAGAAACTCAGATTCTGTGGTCACAGAAAATACAATATAAGCCCACATTCACAGATGTGGGAGAGTGCGAATTTGTGCAAATTCCTGTGCTCCGTTTGCTGTGTCCCCCCCATTGAATTAAATGGGGCCTAAACGCGCAACAAATGCGGCTAAAAAGCTCATGTAACAAATTTTGCGACATGCGTTCTGTGTTTTTGGCTACCGTGCTCGTACACATTTTAATGCACACAAACGTGGCGCAAAACCATGTGTTTTCTTGGCCTTGTTTGTGGTGTCACCGTCTCTACCTTTTGGGTTTTCCACAATGCCCAGACTAGATTTAGCAATATTCTTTACCAAAAGAGTCACACAAGTCTTGCATTAGTTGTCCATGAAACAGGACTTTTCTCTATAGCTTCATGATCCAAAAACAGCAAGTCAGATGAATCAACTAATCCTAAGGAAGAATTAGGAATTAGGTGATTTGCTTGTTTGACTTGATGTTGTATGATCATGGAACTACAAATAAAGTCCTGTTTCATGGACAAATGGTGCAATACTTTTACGGTTCCCATGGTGTGGAATATTGCTTTATAGTATGGATGAAAACCTCTCTTACTTTATAAAAAAATGATCATTCAGATAAAGCAGTATGCTCTCTCTTCCTCCAGCTCAGCCACTGCTGCTAGAAGGAGAGTGAGCACACTGTGCATGGGCACAGTTTGATCAAGCTGTGAGCGGCTACTGGGACATGCTTCTAATATCGGTCCTGTTGTGATCTTTAGCTAGGACAAGGAAGTGGGGGGTGTCAATTACTTTGAGGTTTTTGCAGAAATGCCATGCAGGACCTACAGGTATACAATGGTAAAAGAGCATCTTTTTTAACACTTGAAAAGTAATTTTTTTTTGCATAATGAGAAGAAAGGTGAACTAACCTTTTAAATAAACTCTCGGCAAATAGATATGTTAAAAGATAAAAAGATAAATACACTGCATATATACTGTTTTACCTGCAGCCAGTCTTGTGCTTCATACAACTCAACTACACAAGTATTCGGAAAGCTGTAGTTGTAGCTTCTGATGTTACTTGCCCGCTTACTGGACAATGCATCAGCAAGAGCAGAATTATGCAGATCAAGCTTCCAGGCAAAACCATCGAGCCCAACAAAGGGCATCGCTTGCTGTTTAAAACTGGAGGGGCCTTCATCAATGCACAGTCATTAATACATTAGGCTCAATTTACAAGGTAACACACTTTTATTTCCTACATCCAAATGAATTTTGGATGTAGGAAACCCACATCCAATTAATTATTTTATTTACACCGAAAAGATTCACAGACGCTGTTTTTTCACCTGAGCTTCCCCTAACACTTACAGGTGAAACTCGAAAAATTATAATATCGTGCAAAAGTTCATTTATTTTACTAATGCAACTTAGCCGTCTACCAGGAGATTTTGGAGCACTTCATGCTTTCCTCCGCAGACGAGCTCTATGGGGACGCTGACTTCATTTTCCAGCAGGACTTGGCACCTGCCCACACTGCCAAACATTTTCTGAGATTGTGGATCTGGATTTTCATGAGCTGTAAGCCATAATCATCACAATTATGACAAATCACGGCTTGAACTATCTTGCTTTGCATGTAATGAGTCTATCTCATATATTAGTTTCACCTTTTAAGTTGCATTAGGGAAATAAATGAACTTTTGCACGATATTCAAATTTTTTGAGTTTCACCTGTATCTCCATCTTCCTAATTCATAAATGTACCTCTTCTCCTATAGACTGACCCCTCCTTTGCTTGCTAGGTACCTCTTCCTCTTTGGATAAAGCTCCCTGCTTGCATTTTCTGCAACTGCTCCATCCCCTCTGCCCATCACTACACATGTGCAAATGGCTTTATCTGCCTGCTAGTAAGTGAACACTTACATCCTATGTCTGCATGAAAAACTGTATACCCCATATTTAAAATATTTTGCCTTGGCAATGAATATAAATCCCCCCAATTATAGTGTGGTTTGTCTATAGCTCACCCTAATTTCCACAACCCTCTTCTCTTTTCTGTTCTTTTAATTCTCTTTCTACTTCTAATCAGAATGTATATTTGACCTTTTGAAAGGTACAAGAACACCTGGCATGCTATGCTGTGCATGTTTTCTGATACAGAATCTAAAGTAAACCGCGGCAAGGTTATGATAGGTTAAGCGTAGTGCATTTTTCAGTCGGCGCAGGCAGACACCATGCTGGGAAGAAAATTTACACAGCATGAACCTACTGGCCTAATTCTAGCAGAGGTGGAAGGATGGGGTGGGGTGGGAGGAAACAGCGAGAGCTAAAGACGTCACCGATTCAGCTCTGAACAGAGGTCACAATGAGGACATCTTTGTTTACAAACCCAGGGAAGCCCATTCAACCTCCCCTCCCCTCTTCCTCTCGGGATTCCCTGTTGGCTTCTTGACAGATTCTGTGACATCACCTGTCAGCTAATAATAGAAAATTCAGCCAGCCGCATGCCAGAAAAGATGGATGGGGTTGTGGCAGCAGGATTACTAATTATGACTGGGCTTCTCAGATGTGCTTAGAATTTATTTTTTTTTTTTTTTTTTATTCAGCTTTCTTCTCTGTGAAATGTGCTTTCCTGATCCAACATGCAGCTGGCAAAAGCTAATAGCATTCAAACAAAGCGCAGGTTCAGGGGATGTGAGAAGACGTCTGATTAGTTTGAGAATGCAGTGTGCTACAGAATGGATGCTCAAACCAGGTTTTCTAAAAGGACTCAAAAATTTAATCAGGCTACGCATAAATAAAATTATTTTTCATTACACCACACGATTCTTAAGTGATTTACAATTCACTGTGCCCAAGAGGATTTTAAAAAAATTTGTTTGTGTGTCATTAGAATCCTATAGCTGTCTCAACATTTTATGTTATATACCCAGTTATAACAGATTTTTACCAAGTGCAACTTGGTCTGTTTCATCCTAAAGCACCTAATAAGCAGTGATGTGCGGGGGCTTGGTGTGAACAGAGTTCGCCCAGGCCTGCAAAACTGCCAGTGACCTAGCCCCCCCCCACCAGAGCCCAATCAGTTGTGGCCGAGACATTCCCTGCGCCTTTGTGACGTGTAGCTGCGGGGTAGGGAATGTCCAGCCGTAACTGATTGGGGTGTGCTTCACCGATAGTTTAGCGGGTTTGGGTGAAATCAGTTTGCACCAAGCCCATGCACATCACTACTTACTACTAAGCTCTGCAGATTTATCAGCCGTAACCTCTAATTGTGACACCTTCTAAGGGAAATACATCAGTCTTGTGGTGTATATATTGAGGCATTTTCCCGTGCGCCACTTTCTTTTAGAAACTGGCTTATTTTTATTATTATTATAGCATACCAAGATGAGAGTCCCATAGAAGTCTAAGGATATCACATGGGCAAATGCGGTCCGCATAAAGAAGACTTTCCACAAAGATGGGCCATGGGATGGAGGTAAGCACACATCTGGGGAGGGGGGGGCAGTAGGATAAGTGCACTTTATCTTCTAGTGCACTTATCTATTAAGTAAACTTATTGTTAATTTTTGGCATAAAAATACAAGCACTGCAATGTGATAGGTGGCCTCATAAAGGAGTAGGGAGGGATTTGGGAAGATGCAAGCCTAAATATAGTATTTAACTGCAAGACATATCACAAATGTGACAACTCTGAACAACATGCACAGCATCATTTTCAATTATAAGAAAAATTCCCCAGCAGACCATTTTTTACCATAACCCATCACCACATTCTTGGGCACAAGCTCACACCAACACAAAAGATACACAGATTCCTACAGTAAAACATATATTATTGACTCGCAACACATTACTGACTGAAAACCTGTCCACCTATTTGTGGACCTGACATCCAATGCAAAGTTTCAAAATGCATATTTTTTTTTAAAGCCTATTCTCTTTTATGTAGTACAAAAAAAATACAAAATACCACTAGTGTCCTTTGAGCCACATTGACACGTAAGTTATTTCAGTGTATGTGTGTTGCAATGCACTGCCCCACTGTGCATACAGAGACAAAACAAAGTAATTAGAGTGCATTTTTGGTCCGCAAAACACATGCTGATGTGCGTTTTTCTGTGCAGATAATTCTGAAAGGGCTGTCTACCACACCAAAAGAGATGCGTGTACTTTTTGTTGTTGTAACCCACCCCACCACAATGCATAGTAGTGCATTATCACGGCATGGTGTGCTGACAAGGTGCGTTGGGGTTCCATTAACAACGAATGGCACCACAGCATACTAACACATTGTCAGTAGCACGCAGTAAGGCTAGTGCACCATGTCCATGATTGTGTGTTCTGATGCTATTCCATTTGAACGGCAACCAAACATGTCCTGAATGCAGCTGTGTTCTACTGCATTGTAGCATACCACAACAAAAATGTAGCAGAAAATAAACATTAAAGCCAATTCATCTTGAATAGCTTGCCTCACCAAGCATGCTACAACATGCCTCAATTCATGAAAATGCAATGGGGCTGCAGTGCATTACGTTCTGAAGTAAATAGGCTTTCAATTGGATTCTTGTGATTACACGAATCCATCAGGCTGTATTGAATATCTAAAAGGCGAGTAAAAGATAATTCTTGAACAATTTAAAATGAAAAATACATATATTTATAAAAATAAACACATATACATATAAAATGAATACAAGTGTTTTGTGTTTCACAGTTCCCTTTCAAAGTTTACCTGTAACTCAAGCTGGCCACATAAAAAAATATGAGAATATATGTATTTATAAAAAATTCATATTAGTGGTCCGCGAGATTTAAAATGATGAATTTAGTGGTCCATGAGGTCCGAAAGGTTGGAGACCGCTGCATTAGAGCATTCATTCTTGCCATCATTGAGTAAACTAATTTATTTCCAAAGCCCTTAAAAATGTTATCCAGGCTTGCTACTTGAATGGAATCCCAGACGTATTAAACGGGTTTCTTTGTGCCTAGCACATTATTACAAATCTGTACAATATTTTCTCGAACTGTGAGTTCAGATAAACAATTTTCCATTCTGCTCCTTCGATTTCCCTCGTCAGTATGGTGGAAAATGAATATTAGACCCCACCAACCATTAGAAAGTTGAATGGATGTTCCAAAAACAAAGATTTTCAAACAAAGTTCTACAGTTTATAGCCAGCTTAACACTAAATTACTACCATTAGGTGACTTAGACAATTCTGTAAATCATTGCATGCAATTTTCCGCACTTACCAGGAGATGGCGGCTGAATCTTAGGCTGTTTCTTCGACTCTCCAGGATTGAAGATCTCTGGAGGAGGCTCCTCCCCTCTCTCTATCTTGCATTCAAAAGCAAACAGGTACTGGATATACTGCTTTTTCAGTGAGCTTGCCGCGCTGCTAGAAGTGCCAACATTTAGATTTGTCGAAAGCTCTCGCCATTTCTTATTCTTATTAACCTAAAACAAAAAGAAGGCCATTGTTTCACAATTTATTTTCTAGTCGGATGTAAAAATAGAGAGAAAATGCACAAACTTTTACTGTTTGCTTTCCCTTCCTATATTTTTTAATGTGCCTCTTTTAAGTAACGCTCATTACTCCCACTCAGCAATGCAATGCCAGCATTTGCAGTTATAAAACCATTAAAGAACCTCCTGATAGCAACATAAAAGGCGTTGGAGGCTTCTGAATGCTGCATCCCCTAAATGCTAAGCTCATTTCAGAAGGGATGTGCGGCAAAAGGATGGCAATTTACATCCAGCCAATGCACTAGAGCATGCGTGCACTCGCAAGCCTGTTTCAATTTAAAAAAAAGAAGACTCGCTACTAGCATCTCATTTAAAAAACAATAAAAATAACAGCAACTGTGTTATTACACAATTTAGTGTAATTGTGGGAGCTTTAAATGTGGAACGAAAACATGTTTATTTTCTAGATGCTTCAACGGGGACGAGCCGTGCCAAGTGATACTGATCCCTCTACAAATCTGGAGAGCGTGAGCTGCCTGCTGGAAGGAGTTAATCCTGAATGAATAACTCACCGAGGATGAAGGCAGTTAGCCGGGCTCCATTCACACCTATGTATTTTTCATTAGTATTTTACACATGCAAACAGGAGGCAAAAACCATATCAAAAATTAAACAAAAAGTCTCCTGCTAGGCTTTTCCTGAGGGGCTTTTTAACATATTCTCTGTACTGCAGTAGGAAAATGTGAAGAGATCAGAAAAGCCTAAGCATTAAAATGCTAAATTGAATGTTGAGGGAGATACAACTAAAAGTGTGAATGGACCCTTGCAGACCCAAAAATAGGAACGTGAATAGACTCGCTTATAAATCTGCATAGCTGCTGAAAAACATGGATTCCTTCAAAAAGGCAATGGAAAGAACAAAGATGATATACAAAGTACAGTAATCCATCAAAGCTGGTGAGTCACAAATCACTTTTCATGAATCTCACAATAAAAAAAATAAGCTGGCTGTTATGGGTTTACTTTGCTTTGCAAACTGTGAGTTGCAGCTCCTCCTTAAAGTTAAACTCAGGTAAAAAACTTTAATTTTAATATATTCGTTGAAGGACATACAACTACGGTACTTTGTGTGCACCAAATGCCTTTGCAAACCCAGATAATACCTTGAAAAAGTAGCAGTGACCTCATCTCTGGCCTGCACATAGCCTGAGATGAAAGGAGAGGTGTGGGCGGGACCCAGCGGGCCCCACCCACTGCAGGCTGCCTGCAGAAAGTACAGAGAGGGGCAGGATCAAGACCAGTGATCTTGTACAAGGAGAGTGAGCAGCAGTGATGGGTCTTAATTAGAGGAAATTCTTGCACAGAGGCAGAATGTAGGAGGTTTTTTTTATGCTTACATAAGTATACGTACATTAAAAAGTGATTTTAAGGTCAATAGGTTTTCAGGCTATTTCAAATGCAGATTAAATCACTTACAATGGATGCTGCTTTTTGATGTTTATAGTAATAGTTTCCTAGAGAATCAGCTGGTTCCATGAGCACTGGCCCTTATATCCTGTATTAAAGTGGCTCCACTCCCTTGCAGGGTCCTGTGGAGCAACCCTTGTGTGTGCTAGTAAGCTGTGTGTATTTCTCTACAATCACACGGGCAAATCAAGCCACTTCCCCCTCCGATACCTTTTTCTTTTAGTGTCATGTGACAGTTATTCTAAAACAATACAGACTAATGATTTTAAGACAGTGGTGGAGCACCAGGGCGTGGTCCCAGCTGCAAACACTGCGACCCTGGTAGTTTTGCCACTGACTCCAAGCTGTAGAAGGACTACAAATCTAAGCAATGCATTATACAGCAATGCAGAATACCACCAGCTATAGATGACTACAAATCCCAGTGATACATTATACAGCAATGATGAATACCACCAGCTGTAGATGACTACAAATATCTGCAGTCAGAAAACATAGATAGCACCATGGCTGGGATGAGGAGGAATGCTGTGCAGTCAGATAACATGATACTGTGGCTGGGATGAGGAGGAATGATCTGTGGTAAGATAACATGGTCCCATGGCTGTGATGAGGAGGAATGCTCTGCAGTCAGATAACATAGTACCATGGCTGGCAAGAGGAGGGATGCTCTGCAGTCCAATAACATTGTACCATGGCTGAGATGGTATGTTATCTGACTGCAGTGCATTCCTCCTCATGATTGGGATGAGGAGGAATGCTCTGCAATCAGATAACGTACCATGACTGGAATGAGGAGTAATGCTCTGCAGTCAGATAACATGTACCATGGACGGTATGAGGAAGAATGCTCTGCACTCAGATAATATGTATCATCCATCAAACGAGGAGGAATGATCTGCATATCTCAGGAGCGGAATTGCTGTACCCGGCAGGAGCCACTCCCCATCTTTGCTCTCCCCTGCCATCTCTGCCCCCACGAATTTTACCTTCTTCAGAGGGGCTGCATGTTTTTTTTTTAAATCAAGTAATTTTTTATTAAGATTTTACAGAAAGTTATAACACAGTGTCATGTTGCAGTCAGTACAGCATGAGAGGGGCTGCATGTTACTTCTGTCGGAGTGTAGCCTCCCTCCTCCTCTCCTGGTGGGTCCCGGAGTCAATGCCGTGTCAGTGCCGAAGTCTCAGGAGGTGGAAGATGTGCAGGCCGGCACTGTAAAAAGCACCGCGAATTCCCAAGAAGGCTGCCACCAGGTCCCCAGCAAGAGCAGGACCTTATGGCAGCAGAATCCATTAAAATATTTAAAGCACGGGTATCGGTTTTTAGTATCGGGGCATTTTCACGAGTATGATACTGATACTGGTATTGGTGCATCCCTACTGAAGACTGTTCTGTCTCTTGTGATCTTTTTATATATCCGGATTAATTATTGAAACATTTTGAGAGTTTAATACTACTTTCATGCAACACATAAGGACATATGTATAAAGCAGTGAATGAGACCTTCACCAAACATGTCATTTAAAACACATTAACATTTCATCAGCAATAATTGTTTGGTGAATGTCATATATATTACTTTAAAAATATGCCCTATAGTGTGAATGGGGCCAAAAGGGTCAGTCCATCCAAAACTATTTCCAGGTATGGCACTTTCTACTTGCACACCCTATTTTTGAATGGAATTAGTAGCTGCAAACTGGGAATCCATAGACCTCTATTGGCATGGCTATATCCATTAAAAAAATAGCAGGGACTATAAGAAAAACGCGCACAGACCAGAAGCATTAAGCTAAAAGTACCACAATATTCCAGGCAGAGAGCTCGGCAAGGACAGCACGGCGCTCAGTGTAAATAACACTTAAAGGGCGTGAGTACGTGGAAATTGCTTTCTTGCACTTCAAACGCACATCAAAGGCAAGTCAGCAGGTTCACATTGACTCTAATGGACTAGTGTAGACAACAGAGGCTGTGTTTGACTTGCTTTTTACATTTCTTTGGGCACAGTAACTCTGTTTGAGGTGCATTTGAATTGCAGGCAAAGCACATCAAGCGCAGCATTTTGCATTCGAACGCGTGCATTTGAGTATTGCTATGTTCGAATATAAAATAGATGCATTTCACATAACTGCCAATCTTCACAAGCTTTAAAGGATAAGTGCACTTTAAAACAAATTGCACTCATGCTTTCTGCCTCTTTAAATTGACATTAACCATTCCTCCTTCCCCCTGTGCAGTTGCATACTTACTGAGTTTCAACGCGCCTCACCTCTGTTGTTTGTCTACATCCTGCGCCAGACATCTCCTTCTCATGGCCGCGCCTGCACTTTACTTTCCTATTGACTTCTATGGGGCTCGTCTCCTAGAGCAAGACGAGCCCCATAGAAGTCAATGAGAATGTATTGTGAAGGCATATCCAAAGAGAGATATTTACTGCACGATGTAAGCAAAAAAACAAATGCCAAGTCCATCAGAACTCACTTGTACAGGGGAAGGGAGGGATTGGTGACGTCATTTTTAAGTTGCCAAAAGGATAATTGGACTTTGTTTTAAAGTGCCCATATGCTTTAATACTTACCTCCCAATGTTCTTTCCATGGATATTTCCTGAAGCTCTCATTTAAACCAAATATTTTCTCATATCTGTTAAGGATTTGGGTGAGATATTGGGGTTTATTTACTAAGGCAAATAGGCTGTTCACTTTGCAAGGAGAGTAAGGCCCAAAGCACACCTGCAATCTGCCAATGCTGTCAACTTGCCAGCATCAGGATCACTAAAACATGCAGAGAAACTGTTCATCTGCTTCATGGGTCACTGGCCAGAAGGGCTAGATATCACTCACTTGCAGATGCAGATGTGCCATGTTCCAAAAAGTCCCATAGCAGGGACAGATGAAAGTTTGCCTCACAAGGTGAACTTGGTAAATTATTACAAATTACATTAGCAATGGTTTCTGAATTATCATTTAGTCAAGGATTTTTGGATCACCACAATACTGTATATGGACTATTATTGTGTAACTCCAGTCAAAAATGTCTTTTCACTTTTTTATTTCTGGTTAGAGTAGAGAAGGGGTAGATCCCTTAGCTTTGGACCCATTTGGAGACTTCCTCTCAGAAAATTAGAGCAGATGGTACAGAAAGGCGGAAATGGAACAGAAAGGCGGAAATGGGATAGAAAGGCAAAATCACCAGCATGGACACAGACAGCAATGAAAAGTTAGTATAGAGTCTAGTCCTCCCCCTCTACAGTAAAATAAATAACAATCGCATTTCTGTTGTTTCCTTTCTATAGATATCTCTCCTAACTTCCCATCCAGTGATGGTTTTACCATAACAAAAAGTGAGGATTAATCTTTCTCAAATATACCCAAGCAGCAATAAAAACCTGACAGGTATACTAGCCCCCCACCCTATCCACAACTAATTAAAACATAGTTTGACCTGGCATTAATGATAAGTATGACATATTGATTTTCATATTACCTGAGCCAGACCACCAATCTCCTTGACACAGAAGTAAAGCCTGACCAAGTCTAGGGGCTTCCTACCAACAGCTGGCAATGTTGCAACAGGTGTTCCTCTCTCCTCCATAAAAGTCAGGTATCTGTCCACCCACATCTTGCGTTCAGGTTCGCTCCCCAACTCATACAACTTAGTTATCTTTTCTCCAGTGGTAGTAGATGAATTGGCTTTCTGCATTGCGTGGAAAGAGTGTAAGATGTATTAACATAACTGTACTTCATTATAAAACACAAGCATACAGACACCTTACCTGGAAGTAAACATTTCTTGTCATGGCACAAAAAACCCAAACTACATATACAGGAATATCTTATTACGTAATGCCGGTAATGAGCTGATTTACATCAGAGCAATTGTTTTCAGTAAATTTGTCAGATTTAAGCTGGTTTACAAAAAGAGAAGTAAAAAAAAAAAGTAGTCTAGGTTACAGAGGAAGGACATTTGCCTTACAGAGTGTTCCAGCGAGAATTTTAGATTGTCCCCCAATTTAAGTGGCAAGGGTCAAAACACGTAGAGAAATAAATACGTACAAATGTATGTATGTATGTATCCTTTGTCTGTTTTTTTTTTCTTTACTCATTTTGCAAAATCTCATGCCAAGAGGAAATCATATAACATACCCCATATTCGCCTAGTGATTCCTTCTAGCTTGATCTGATGTTGCTGCCAGTAACAGTACTCTTTACAGTACTCTTTAATTCAAAATAACTTTAAAGTGGATATACAGTATTATCTACAACAACAAGCACTTAGCAACAGAAATCCAGATTTTCCAAGTACTGAATACAAACTGAAAAGGTAAAACTAGATATTGACCAAGGATGTAACCATTTCTCCTTTCTATCTATCTAGTTTTCAGGACCACAATAATATAAGGAGTGTTAGGGATATATCAACCTGACAATCAATGATGACGCAGTTCTAGCTTATAAATAAAAACCACTCTCACAAATGCACAGAAATCCCTCTTCCTTGTTAATTCTGAGAAAATATTTAATTGTGGAAATCAGTAAATAAAAACATTATTAAATGGCGCAGAGAAAGCAGCACTTAACATTGTTTTACAGACAACAGCTTCTACATGTACTAAATAAGAAGGATTTATGAAGCAAATTTAAACTCCAATTAATGCCAATACATGTTAAAAATATTTCATTCATAACACATTTGATTTAGATTATTTCAAATCTTATTTTTTTGCAATGTTCCAAACTTAGTCACAAAAGGGCATTCATAATATTGTACACACTTTTCATTTTAGCCAAATTACAAAGAAAAAAAAAAGGAAAGATATACTAGAATAAAAATAAAAATACATGCTAACAGTAGTTTGAATTATTTCCAAATATAAAATAACAAAACAGGGCCACTTACAGGGCTTGATGGAGTCTTTGGCCAGCCTGGGCTGTTAATGCTATCACTTTCATCTCCATGAAAGGAGGAGATGCTAGCGGAGCTTGGGGACAATGGGGAAGGGACTGGCAGGTTGGCTGGGGTTGGGGGCTGAGATATACCCTGTGAACTGTAGCTATCCTGTAGTAGAAGAATACAAAGCAAAATGTGACATGAACCGGGCAAACTTTACCAAAAAAATAAATAGATCAACTGGTAATGCAAAAATGTTGCATGTATGGAAAGAGGGAGGGGTAAAAAAACAAGCATATAAGATGCATGAATTGAAGGCTGTTAATTAATTGGCTAGCAATTAGTGCATATTTGGCAGGTTCGTAGATGCTTGGCTAATGTTACTAAGCCACCATGCTTACTTCAAGCAAACATGAAATGCTTAAGCATGGATTGCCCCCTCGGTGAAAATAAAATTAAAGCTGCTTGCCCTACATTCAAGGGGAATGGGGGAGCAAATTATTTGTTATGCCTATGTGCTGTTTAGACGGCCAGCAACAGAAGCTTAAACTGAAGGCAAGAAGGGAAAATGGCTGCAGTTTAGAATCCAGGCATAAGAAACCCCCAGCTCAAAATATCCCCAAGCTCATGATCATTCCTTTTGCCCCAAAGTCAGAATGAAATTAGAACTAGTATCTTTCAGATCCAGACCATCTAAACAAATATAGGCCCGCAAAACAGATGGAAAACACATGCAGCAGAGAAAAGAAACTGAAAAAATAAGTAGATAATGGAAGACAATATGGACGACACAGCGAGCCAACAAAACTGCTACCACATGCAGGAGGAAATACCTTTGACTTTATTTCAGGGTGGGGAGGCCCATCTTCTTTACCATCGAGTTTCAGGGAAGGAGGCAGTTTAGTATCTCCAGTCATCATTTCAGCAAGACCCAAGTGACCTAAAAAACAGCAAAACTTTGTTTTATCATAATACATAAGGTTTTTGTATTTATTTATTTTTTACAGATTGAATAAAAAAAATCATAAATGTGGTCATTGGAGGCAGCTATTTTGTCAATATGTTATGGCTTGACTGAGATCCTGATGCAGTGTCATGTTGGGATGAGGTCCCTAGCTCTCCTCCGAGTCCATGCGAACAGACAGCAAGACTCACCTATTGTTCCAGGATCCTCTACGTAGAAACAACATAAAGCCCACATCCTTCTACTGGAATAGCCAATAAAAGTGCAATGCGCAACGGGGATTAATGGCGTACCGGCATACCGGCATTCGCTCACCTATCGATGCTGTCACAGCTCTCTGCCGTGACAGGGGAGGGGCTGGATTCCCCCCTCCCCACTCCGATCCGCCAGCGCTGACTGGCGGAATGGACGTGGAGGGGGCGGGTACAGCTGGCTCTGCCTCTAGACAGGCAGAGCCAGCTGTCAGTCACGCAGCTGGGCGGATCCTGACATAGTTGTCGGGATCTGCTTCAGCTGCGGCATCTCAGTATACCGCAAGCAGCAGCTCACAGTATACTGCGGCGTCTTACTATACCGTGAGCTACAGCTCGCGGTATACTGAGCCTAGGGTGACAGGAGGACGCTAGTTTGCATCCTCCTGTTACCTAAGGAGAACTATGGGGAAAAGCCTTAACCACATAGTTCTCGTTTAAGCAACAGATAACTGATCCTAGATATTTTTCCAATAGGGATTAGAAAAAAAACAAACATCTGACTGGTTAACAATGACCTCAGATATAAAAAAGACACATTAAAGCAGCTCTGTAATTATTATTACATCATTACATTTCTTTTGAAGGCATGCAGTGTACAGCAAGGCTGAAGTGTGAAGCAGCGCAAGAAGCCAATCAGTTCATGTGCTGATAAGAAACATGCTGACAGGAGGCGAAAGCAGAATGTCAATAAGATGAGCTCATCGCTGTGCTGCTTCCCCTTTTACTGCCCATAAACAGAATGGGGCAGATCCAGGATGACTTTGTCTCAGAAGGCATGGGTTGAATGATGCTAGCCATCAGACTGAAGGTATCTAGCAGCTTGGAAAAAAAATACTGCAGGGGAATCTGTGAACTGAAGATGAATATTGCAGCAAAAGCTGGTTTTATTTAATTTTTCAATGGGCTTTTAATTTTTAACTTCTTGTTTTTGACTGGAGTTCATCGACAAACAGCATTACTTTTTTTGGCATGTCAACAAATATTTACACAGAAATCCTAAAACCCAAAAATGGTTAAATAAGCAAATGTACAAATGTGATGATGCTACTGTACATCCTGTTGATGCGTACTGAAAGGGTTAAGAATGAACTCCTTTTACATGATTATCTGGGTGAGAATTTTAAAATAATCTGTAGAACTTTAACAGAAATGTTTTCATCTAAATGAAACTATTGGGCAAATGCTGCATTTGAAATGCACTGAAGAATACAAAAATAATCTGTTTACCGTCTGCTAAATTATGACTGCAAACAGTGGCGTATTATTGTGCTTTGGAAAATAATTAGACTTAATCACAGCAGAGAGAGCTTATGCAGGACTCTGGCGGACAAACTGGCAAGCATCACCATGCTAATTTGCGAATATCCATAACACCACCACAGGTTTGCAATAACCACAATTCTGCCAACACCCTACCGAGTCATGTGCAAAACACATTTAAAATTTTGTGCTGCTTATTAGGCAACAATGTCATCCTGTTGCGGGAAGAAAATATGCCATTCTAAAGTGATATTGACTGATCTGAGCTAATTGTTTGCAGCATTTTCTCAGTCTTGGCTCTGCTTTTTCAGATGAACATGTCTACACCATTAAAAAGTCCATCATATCAAATCAGGCATTTTTATTTTTGGCAGGTGGTGACGAGTTAAATCACCTAAGGGTTTCTTCTGCCCCTTGGGGACTTGAGTGGTGAGATCTCTGTGTATGACTTGCACACTTTGCTGCAGCCACTTCAAGTTGCAGGAACACCGCACAGTAAATGTTGCCACTATGTTCCTCAAGAATTTAAAGAAGCCTGTGAGTGGTTCAACCCCCATACTTCACCTATACCGGACATGTGGGTCGCTGCCTGAAACCCACAATTCTGGAATAGGTGAATGCCTGTTTAAATACTTAAATGAGTTTTAAAGTCCCAGCATTTACTATCCTGTTATAACATCAGCATTGTTGGAATACAGGAATACATACTAGAGTTGTTTTTGATAATGCAATCAAAGCTAACTGGAAAAAAAAATCCTTTTTCTGTATTGAGTGCTGCCTTCCGTCTGCCCAATACTTTCAACAACTTCTTGGATTTCTAGTGTGCTTTGCATATCTTTCCCTGCTGATTGATGTAATGCAATTTTGATTTCTCAAGATCACATAGCCCATAATGCAGCCCATAGCCCAGCAAGCAATGATAATGTTACATTGTTCAGATGTTGAGTTATAGTTCAGAAGGCATCCTCTTATGAGGTGTGACACAAGTGCACAACTGAAAGTGCATATTCACAGGGCTGAGTGAAATTGTGTCAGTGAATTGAGGAAGTACATCCTAAGGAGCATCGTCCATACGTTTACAACAATTCTAACTCAATGTTGTTATTAAGGGTGGAATAGAATTTATGGAAAATCAATATACAAATACATATTTATTTTTAGATTTTACCATAAAACCACTTTCATTTCTATTGCATGCTGAGATCCAAAAGACTGTTCTATTTTGCAAACAGACACGTCTCTCATTTTCATATTGGGACTCTCCACTTTTCACTACCCTCATGTAGTGCAATTGGCCAAAAAGAGTGAAGGATGGTCTTACTGTTCAATAAGGAAGCAAAGGTTTGAATAATAAACACCCAGGTTTCTGAGGTTTCAGGGTGTATTTTGGAAATTGACTGAACATGTGTGATTAGTTTCCCAAAGTCCCTTCAGTAGCTGTTAGGAGCATATAGGTACACTGCTGTATTGAGGTTAACAGGTAAAGGAAACATTTGCAGTTATTGAACTAAAATTACAACTGTGAAAGGCTTGCCACACATTCCATAATTCTGGAAACTTTTTTTTAATTTACTTACTTAGATTACTTTTTTTAACTTTTTATTAAGTTTCTCTTAAATACAGTAAAATCATGCAAATAACACTAATAATCCAATCATATTCACAAAGGCAGTTTTCATATGCAATTAATAAATGCTTTTAAGCATGGCTTGACCACAGGTCATTAATAACAGATACCCATGTAAGGCCGTGAACCTTTTTATATTTGTTTTTATATATATATTTTTTCTTAAATAATGTAAAATTATACAAATACCTCTAAACAATCCAATCATATTCACAAGGGCAGGTTTTATAAACATTTATTAAATGCTTTTTAGCATGGCTTGACCGCAGTTCATTAATTACAAATGACCATGTAAGGTCAGAACATTAAGTACTCATGATATCAACACCATGACACATTCATAATTAAAAAAAAATATCTAACACAAGCTCTAGTAAAAGTTATCCATGAGATCAAAACTGATGATTGTGAGGGGCTGAACTTGCTGGAAATGATCATTTCTATAATATAGTTACCTATGCGAATCTGCCAGGCAGCCAAGGTACCAACTAAATGTACAAACTTTAGATTTACCAACAGCGCAGTTTGAAGACCTATCTAAACAATCCATTCAGTTTATATGCAATCATGTAATCCCACACACTACATAGTAGTAAATCTAAAAAAGATTATATAATTTACATGCTTCTCTTCCACTGGATTCTGTACAATTTACAGGTTTGTAAACAGTGAAAGTTACAATGTAAAAATACTTTAAATGCAGTCTCGGCTGTTTCAAACTGGAAATGTATCACTAACCATTCAGGAATAGCTGGAAGGGGTCCTTTAATCCCACAAGGTTCAGTTTCCCTCCCGTCATATAAATCATATTCAAAGAATAATGATATTGCACTATTCCCCACATTTTAAAGTGACACTAAACTCAGGAGTTCCCTCGGAGCTCAGCCAAAGCCCCGGTCCCCTGACTCTTATGGACAGCTGGCCCTCTGCCAGCTGCCACCTGATCAACGCCATGCAAACCGCACAGAATACTCCTTCATTGGTTAATAAAGACGTTCTATGTCACAACGGCTAAATCTGTGTCTGTATTGCATGTTCAAACCTTAGTTACCATAAGTAATAACAGGTTAATAGAGGTTTACTCCAGGCATATACGATTTTGAAAATTCTTGAGAATTGCTTAAATAATGCATTACGCATTAAATAAACCCATTAGATTTTAGTCGACTAAATCTACTGGAGATTTAGTCAACAACACTAGACTAAAACAATTCAGATGACTAAAATATGACAAACTAAAATGGCATTTTACTCAACAGACTAAGACCATGAAAACTAAATTGAAACTTCAAAATTAACACTGCCTAACTGTTAACAAAACTGTATCTTATTTTGTATCACTTGGCTGTAGATCCTCAAATCATCTCTGAATTGGTGTTGACATTGTCCTTCCTTCTGGAGGGCGGCTACTTTTGTTCCCCATGGTCCCTGTGTGTGTTGTAAAGTAGCCACAGCTCCCTGCTCACTCACTCACAAAAGTAGCCACCCTCCAGAAGGAAGGACAGTGTCAGCACCAATTCAGAGTTGATTTTATGATCTACAGCCGAGTGATACACAAATGAGATACATTTTTGTTAATAATCATGGTTAACTCCTTAGTTTAGTCTCACTTTAAGGAGCTTTTACTGATGCTATTATAGGCAAACTCCAGCCCTCCAGCTGTGGTGCTACTACAAATCCCATTCGGCATTGCAAGACCGACAGCCACAGGTATGACTCCCTGAAGCACATGCTTGATTGGATTTGTAGTTTCACCACAGCTGGAGGGCCAGCATTTGTCTACCGCAGGTTAAATGTGCAAGTTTAAAGTCCTCAAGGCATTGTTCATTTTGACA